GTCAGAATGCATCTAGTCCCTCAGAGCAAGCATCCCGGTGAAGAGAAGAACGGCGAAGATAGTATTGCGGGAGGTCAAAAGGGTAAGGTACGACACACGTAAATACGGCTTTATGTACAAGAAACCGTGTGAATAAGTACCGCGGATCCTACGATGACATGCCCGAAGAAACACGAGGCTTGAGCTCGCTCCGAAACCAGGCGGGAATAAATATTCCTCCTGACACCCTCCTTCGAGCGAAAGCATCTAGAAAACCCAAATCTGGCTCCAGAGTTCAGCCAGAAAAGATCTAACCCTCCTTCAAACTAAGGCCCCATGAATGCGCCACAATAATATCACCGCGGAGATGGTGAAAATGTGAACCGGTCATAATGCTCGGGGTGCATGTAATTGCCGACCAAAGTGACAGATTCACCGGAATGGAAAATGGATGATGTCAACGAGGTGAAATGAGATGTTGACATCAAGGAAAGGAATGGTGAAGGTTCCGAAATGAAATCGGCACCGTGAAAGGAATTCGGAGTCAAGACAGATGCTGGAATCAATGTCTGACTGGGAGAATGAAGAAGAGAATCAAGTTCCAATGGCGGGAGTGATTCTGGGTGAAATGAGTGAAGAGACGAGCGAAGATGTCGTCCCGGAGATTCCCATGAAATGCTGCTTGACGAAGAGAACAGCAGTCACAGAGAGGAATGTGGTGAGGAAAGCAGATGAACTGTCTGCAATGAAATCGACCACTGTGAGGAGAGGAAGCAACTGTGTTGGATAAATACAGCTGCCCGGAGGAAAGTTGTTGGGTGTCGGAGAGAGCCGACGATGACCGCGAGAATGAGCGCTAGATACTGGCGCCGCGCGAGAAGCATAAGGCTGCAACAGGCCTGCTGAGGAAAAAATCCCAGCACCGCTAGAATTTGTGCTGGCCCCGGTTAAGAGACCAAGCCACTGGAATTTGCTGGACCACGGGATCACAGCACCGCTTGACAATGATATCCCGGTTAAGAGATGAGACCGCTAGAAGACGCTTACGGCCGAAAATGGCACCATATAGAAATGGCCGCAGAAAGAGATGACGCCCTCGGAGGCGAGTCGATGTCGTTGACCAAACGGCTAGGTTCACAACCAGCTAGAGGACCCTTTTGTGTCAGAATGCATCTAGTCCCTCAGAGCAAGCATCCCGGTGAAGAGAAGAACGGCGAAGATAGTATTGCGGGAGGTCAAAAGGGTAAGGTACGACACACGTAAATACGGCTTTATGTACAAGAAACCGTGTGAATAAGTACCGCGGATCCTACGATGACATGCCCGAAGAAACACGAGGCTTGAGCTCGCTCCGAAACCAGGCGGGAATAAATATTCCTCCTGACATGCTTTGTGTGGACTATAAAAGTATGAGTGAATGTGAGATTGGAGAATAGAACCTGACTGACTGATCATATAGTTGAAAGAAGAATCCTTGGCCACCAGGCCTACGAGGAGGTTCTTGACGAAGATTTCCCTGTTCTGTTGACGGGTGACTGGGAGTCGCGATCGGGGAATGCAAGACAGACATACCTTCTTTTCATCTTTGATATCCTTGATCAGACTGGCAATGGCTTTGATAGCGGTCTTGATGACTTCCTTGACAATCTGCTTAGCGACCATGAGCACCACTTGTACGACTCGCGGTACAAGATCGAGTTGTCCTTCGAGTTGTTCGTCCCGTAGAGTTAATTCATTTTCACCTCTCGCCTCGAATTCATCTGACCGTGCAGCGAATTCGTGATCCCATTCATCCCGAATATCGAATTCTGGGATATATCGCCCTTCAAGACCAGACTCGTCATGAAGATAGCGCCCTAGAAGCTCGTAATTCCCGGAGTCCAGCTCGGAATACGCTGCAACTCTAGAAGAGACGTAGAGTACCAGTGAGAAGAATATGGTGAGCTTCATGATAAGTGGATTTAACGACTAGAGGGTGGTGTCAACTGGTCCTGCCAGAGAGCGCACATCTCAAACAGTGTTTCCTTGGTTCTTATATGTGTGTTGTAATAGCATTGACTTACTTATGTGATCGGCCCATCATGTCGGACGCACTGCCTTTGGCTGGGCAGATAGATAGATCGTTAGATAAAATTATACAGCTAGGTCCCGATGAGAATCTTCATAACGTCCCCTCGAGATTCAAGCTTCCTCTCAGAAAATAATCCGTCCGATTTCAATGTTTGAGCTCCAGAAGAATTCAACTTCTGGTCACATCTATGCTCGCGAGGATCCACGATCGTTACCCGGACCTATTATTAACCGATTATGCCAAGAGTTAGAGCGCCCATTCACCGCTGCTGAATCTATTATGCCAACAGCGCCCATCTGACCTTCGCTGAATTCGACTGACCGGTACTGGGCAACTCCGAGATTGGTCAGACCATCCATTCAATACACGACACACTGTATGTTTCAAGCACTGCTTCTGGGTTGTCAATTTATGGCTTCACGGTCTTATAATACCAAGTAGTAAAAATACGGAATCTTCTTCTGTTCGCCAAATCTAATCTAACCAAATAAGCCGGTCTCATTTGGGTCGTAGACATGTTATCCATTGCCAGCCCACAATCAGCAGCCACATGGTCAGCCAAATAAGCCAATGTCTGCGACACCCTGACACTCTCTATCTCTCCATCGCTTAAAGCTGAGACGAGGATGCAAGTCAAATCCCTGATAGTGCACTTTTCAAGGACGATGAAGATGTCTTGAGGCCTTTGGCCTGTGAGATACGCAGTGCGAGGAAAATGACCGACATTGTATTTTGCAAGGATTTGTCGTAGAAATCTGGGGTTTCGAGGTGCTCCACATAATGAGTTTTAGTTAATGGTTCAGTGTCCGCAACCCCTAGACTCAAGATGGCGGTAAAGAGTATAGCACCAGAGTCTGTATGCCTGTGATTTTCAGGAGGAACTGTTGAGACACCATATGCCACAGGGGGCATTGATCACCTGAAGAGCTGTACATGTTTACTCACCGGGGCGACAGGCGCTACCAGACTCAGGACATACCTGGTATGGCATTTTTGCCGTGTAATACTTACAGAGCGCAATGTGAATCGTCTGACATGTTCATTGACGATCATTGAAATTAATCCTGAATAGCAGAGGCACTTACATCAGTGCTGTACCCGATGACCGAGAGAGGCCGCGAGCGCTGATGGCGGCTTCTAATTTCTTCCACCGAACACGGCGGTTTGGGTCCCAGATTTGATCCGAATCGGCTGTGTAAAATGAACTTCCATCAAACTTGCTGACATGTCGTAAGTACCCATCTAGTTCCGGCCACTTTGGCAAACCTTTCTACCTTATATAAATGGTCAAGTTCACGGAACTTCCAGTGGATATATTGGAGGAAATCACGGCAAAAGTACATCCCACCGAGTTCTTTTTGTCTCTGATGACGTTCTGAATGATCTCACTTCTCAGGTCCTCAAACGCAGGCAAAAGCGGCTACGGCTGACTTGCAGACAAATTAACGAGATAATTGAGCATCAGCTTTTCGAACACCTCCGGATTCCAGAGTGCGGTTACACAGACGGTCATACAGGCAGTCCGACTGCAATAGCGATTCTAGAGGGTCTCCCTGCCTCGAGAATCGCACGTCATGTCAGGAACCTGTTCCTTAGAATGGCATTGCCTTTGCACGTCGATATCATCGAAAAGGTGCTTGTTCCAGCGCTTTCCTCGCTACGAAATCTACAAAGTCTGGCGTGAGTAGCAATTCTGTTTCCGAATCTTTCTAAAATTTGGCCGTGTTAGTTGGCGTCTTGGACCCAACGAGATGGCCGAGATCATGAAGACCCTAGCAGCGCTCCCAAATCTCACACAACTGACCCTTTTGCTGACCTCCACAATGACTCTCAATGCTCTCTATCTCCCGACTCTTCGAAATATCCAGCAGCTCGATTTCGGTGGAACTGGCATGCGCACTCTGTTGCCTTTGCTGCAGATTGATATTGCAAAATGGCATCATTTGCGTCAAGTGGTCCTTGGGGCTGAAGGCCCAGCGAACTTCAGTCTTGATCTTTTGGCCGATCATCTACCTGCGATTCCACTCACCGAAATCCGGGTCGCTACGGAGTGGAATATCAATGATGGTTCATATAGACACCTTCAAGGATTGCTAACACTCAAAGCTGGATATTTGAAGTCTGGCAATGCATGGACACAGTTGAAGAAGCTAGGGATTTGTGTTGAGGATATTGAAGCGCCCATGTGTCCCCAGGAGACGTTTTGGGAGTACATTTCTTCGTACTCTGGACTACGAAGGCTTGAATTGGTTTTGGGGATTCAGGATGAAATCCTTTGGACCAAGGCACTTCCACGACATGCTGAAACTCTTCAACATCTGCGTGTACCCATTTCAATGGAATCGCAGTTGATTGTCCTATCGACATTGCGAAGTCTCGTCAGCTTGAAGTTATACCTGATGTCCCCTCCAGTGACTGTACGAGCTCAACTCTCACGTTAATTGCGCTGAACCGATCTGACACAGATAGTATTTCAAGCCCTTTCTGAACTTCATTGCCTCGTGCATGTGGAACTTGTATTCCAAACAGTCCTACGTTCTAATCCATCATTACTAGACTATGTCGTCGACCAGATCATAGGATTCTCCCCGATAACACTCGCCATGCTCAATCCGTGTCTCGAAATCGTCTTGCAATGTAGCGACCAACTTCGGACTTTGCATTTGGAAAATCTAGAAGCCGGAGGACGCAAGTTTTTTCTGACCGACAGCGATACAGTCAGCGTCACGGACTCCCCTCCTCGACGTCTGGAAAGGGGAAATCACTCATTGTCGAGGAAGCTATTACGGGTTTTCAGGGATCTGAGAGAGAAATCTAGAACATGATGGACAAGTATTGGAGGCGAGGATCTATGTTTCTTGTAGTAGTTGCCATTAACTGGATTTGTCATTGAAATAGTCAGTGAAAATCATCGGTATTTCCACTCCACACATATTTCTTCCCTGGCTATCCCGCCTTAGCTCAGTTGGTAGAGCGCGAGACTGTAATAGGAAAATAGTCTTCATCTTGAGGTCGCCTGTTCGACCCAGGCAGGCGGGATAGCTTTTTTCTTCTTTCACTACTGATCAGGACCCTTGCGTAGTACCATTGATATATTCTTATGAAGTCCATCCCCGAACTCTCTGTAAGGAGAAGACGGTACTTTTTACAAGTTCATCCTTGCAGTGGAGACCATCTGGCCATATTTGAGCTCACACATAGTGGTTCAGCAATCAATTCACAAATCATTGTTACTATGTTTGAAGCGAGTTATCTGTCCTGAGCCGTGAGCCATCGACCAAAGGTTGAGGGCGGGCAGCTACAAAGGACAGCATGACATGAGCATTCAGGAATAATAAGTAGCTATCTCTATCCATGACATTAGAACTGGGAGGTCAGGCGGGCAGCGGGCTGCATTCCTGTCCAATTCCTCTTTGAGTTGTCTTTGAGTTTCGGTATAGCATGTCGACTCAGCAATCAAAGCTAGATAACTTGTAGATAACTTCAAATAGATGAATTTCCACCTCAGAGAGTGAAGGGGATGGTGCGAAGCACCACTAAGAATGTGTTTACGGATAGGTTTCACTTCTTCGATTTACATGGGCCAGGCTTCGCTAGATCGCAAAACGTGACAACATGTCCCTGGTTCCCACTTCGATCGAAATTGCCCCAGAAAGCCCACTGTGAGGAGTTAACACGTGCAAGAGTGATTGAAAGTTTGATTTCACTGACGTTATTGAAACCTCCATCGCCCTTGAGCGTAACGACGCCCTCTTTCCCGGCATATACCTCATACTCGACGGTCTTTTTGAACAGACGAATTGTGTCGCATTCGGCATGCTCGTGCCACTGCACATCGATAGATAAGATAATTCGACAGCAATTGAAACTGACACACCCATTTTTCGCCTCTTGCACCTTCCCAGTTCGCCGTATGCTTCGGATGGACTGAAGATTTCCAGTAGATGAGCGACTGCAGGTGAGATCATTGGCAAGCGACGAACTGATCATATAATTAAAGGATGTGTTTTTGGCTACAAGCCCCGCTAAAAGATTCTTGACGAAGGTTTCCCTAGTCTATCAATAATAGTTTATTAGTACGATACCCAGGATCTAAAGAGGTATGCAAACAAAACATTGACCAGTGCATATGCAAGAATTTGGAGAGATAATGTGAAGCACATACCTTCCTTTCGTCCTTGATATCCTTGACAAGACTCCCAATTCCTTTGATAGCGAATTTGATAACATTCTGCACCAGCTGTTTGGCCACAAGTTGCACGATTCGTGGGACTAGATCGACTCGGTCGTCTCGTAAAGCTAATTCGTTGTCTGCGTGAGGCTTGAATTCATCCCCAGCGGAGAATCCGTTGTCCTGAGACTCAGATCGGTCCGAGAATTCATCTACACCGTGATCCCACTCTTCGAATTCTTGCAGCACTCGAGGACTGTATTCGTCATGTTGGAGGAGAGGGACCAGGTCGTAGTTCCGAGAGTCCAGCTCGGAATATGTACTGGCGACGCTAAGAGAGAACCAGCAGAATGCCAGTGACAGTAAGATCAACTTCATCACAGAGAAGAGAAAAGGGCAGAAGAGGGGCGGTAAATATCGACTGGTCCTGCCAGAGAGCGTTGAACAACAAACAGATTCTGATCAGTGCTCTTATACCATGCAGCTTTTCCCCAGTTGGACAAGCTTAGGGCTGCGCACCGTCCCGTCGACGGGTCAAAACGGGTACGGGACACCAAGACCCTTCGTTGGGCGTGGCGCACCGCCTTGGTGTCCAAAACAATGGCCGGAACGTACTGTAGTGTTTTGAACAAGTGTTCGGTAACGTGTCTGAACAAATCCGTGACATGTACGAGTAACGCGTACATGATAGGCCGGTGAACAGTGCTGCATCTGAGACTTTTCCAGGTCCAATTTCTCGATTTTTCGGCTCGGTTTCAACAGATTTAGGTATGCTGCAATGACAACGTGCTGGAAGCTTGAAATCACAGAAATCATGTATGCTGAGCACTGGCAGCGGTAAAATTTAAGCGCAACTGCTGACATGAATAGCAGACATTACTGCAAATTACAGCGATGGCTATACAGGCGATCATCGAGGTTGCTTTGGCTGAGTCCAGCGTAATAGCACGGATGTTCAATCGCATCGTCTCGTCTCCGAGCACGGCACGAGATCATATTGATCATGATTGCCGCATCCACCACAGGATCCGAGTCATATCATGTCTTTGAAGCCTTGAACATCGGTCTCAGTCCTGCCATACCTACCTATAATTGCCGGATCTATGAACAAAACAGATAATCGAGCGGGATGATGTGAGTGCGACTTGGGCGCCACCTTCGATCCGTTCAATTGGATGGGTCGGATTGTGGATACTGTATTTGACTGACAGTGACTTCAAGAAGAAAGCAAGCTTGATTTTCGTGATCTTCTTGGCTTTGATCGATTTGATCATGGAATCTCTAGTAGATAGTATGTTCGTCGAACAGTGGTGAAAGCGCTGGAGATTGACTTTACACTGAGTATCTGCGCGGTTGAAGCTTTTCGGAGCCCCGAGAAACGGTGCATCAGACCCGAACGGTATACCGCTGAAGTCCGCGGCTGTCCTTCCTGCTTGATTCGTCGCCATTCTGCATGATGCAATAGGTGGGAATGAGAAAAAATGCGACACATATTAATTGATAGCCAAGGATTGTGCTATATGGAGAATGAACACCTGAAATCTTGTGAACACCTGCCCAGTCTGTAACCGATAACATCGGAGTTTGAACTGGTCCGCCAAGTGTTCGCGCTGTAACGTGTAACACGGTGTGAACACTTACAGTAATACCAAGAGGATCTCGACTTCATCAATCATTGCTAAGGTTCAAGTCAATGGTCGTTAGAGGACTCCAGACTCCCGAAATATCACTGAGAGCCCTCCGCCGGATGCGGTTCTGAGGCATAGACGGACAAGATTTTGGGATTTTGGACATTCAGGGCCGAGGTGAGAGGTGCAGACAAAATTTGGCCGGTACTACTTTGGCAGACGAGGCCAGGACGTGGGAAGCCATAATTATTAGATTTTGAATGACCGCTGCTCTACAGCCGAAAAAGCTCTAAAACTGGCTCTACCCGATTAGACAGCAAGTACCTCATAGGGGCACCGGGCCATTTTTTGACAGAAAAACACGTGAGAGAAAAGTTTATGTCTATATACGGCGCGGAGAAAATTTGCCTTTTCGGCCTCAAGCCTCTAGGTGATATTTCGGTGGTCCTGTCGTTAGTCATTAACGCGACGCGTCAGTCACAATTCTCATGGTATTGTCTGCATCTAGCCTCAGCACAGACTCTCTATAGTGTGAGAGGAAAATCAAATTTCGTTGGATGTCTCGACAGAGCTTGTGTCTTGCACCGACAGAGAGCCTGATGTTGAGGGTAGTCCGCATCTTGTATAGTGAGGTGTGAAGTTTACCCATCATCGGTTAATGATACAGTTTATTCTACAATGAGAGAGAATCTGTGAGAACCGATTCAGTAGTGGCCCAGAGCTCACGAGCAAACTCTGCATTTTGAGCATTCTCTGACGGTTCTGTGATTATCCCAAAGGGCAACAGGTAAGCGCCACCGTATTGTTCTCTTTCCTCCCAGACAATTGGATCAGTAGCCGCAAACATCGCTGTGAGTGCACCATCAAAGGGAGATAATGCCTGGGCCAAGACGTCTTCTTCTTCTCCGCCAAAGAAAGCTATGGCACCATCTGTTCAGGAATCAAAGGGACAAACTAGCGAAATTCAGCGCATTAACCTACCTGTTCTCACGAACCCCGGATGAACGGAGATGGCCAATGCATCGACGCCTTCAGCTCGAAATTTCCGGTCCAGCTCTTTTGCGAACAGAATATTTGCTAGTTTCTCAAGACCTGGGGAGGAAATATAAGACAGGACACCTTGAGAACCTTTTTACAAAGATACTGTACCATATCGGTTCAAGTTACCTGCATACTCGTCTGTACCGCCGAGAGTCAGATTGAAGTCCTCGACTGATCGAAATCGGGTTCCGGTCGGTGCAAGTCGATGTCCTCTGGACGAAACCTGGTCCTTTTGTTTGTATTTGAACTTGATATGACACGAAGGCTCACATTTATGATTCGGACTCCAGGACTTGATTTCGCGGCCTGTTTCACCAGGGGGAGGAGTTTCGTCGTAAAGAGGAACGGTCCTAGGTGGCTGAATAGTCTCGACATCGACTCTCAATGACCATATTACAAGGACTCACTTGATGGAAAAGGTCTGTGATATTCCATATTGATCCTTGACGAAAGGTGATGCCAGACTTTGGCAGATTAGCTCACAAACGAAAGATTATCAAGTGAGAGACACACAGTGCAGCACTATTGACTAGAATATCAAGTCTTGTTTCTGTTTCAAGGAGGGTTTCAGCGGCCTTTTGGACCTGCTCAAAGTTCCCCAAATCCATCACCAGTGGATGGAGATCCAAAGCAGTTTCAGGACTCAGAGACCTCATCTCCTCGATAGCCTTCGTGGATTTGAGTAAATTACGAGCTCCGACATATACCTTGGCTCCCTTCATTGCGAACTGGTGTGCCATATGGAAACCAAGTCCAATCGAGGAACTGATTCCCACGTGAGCCATAAATACGCCTTTGAGGGAGTCACTCACTTCGCACCCGTGACAACAGCGACCTTTCTCCTCAAATCAGGCATCCGTTCTATATCCCATTTCTGGGTAGAAAGCATTCAGCATCCCTTCACTTCTTGAAGGTGTGAGGTGAAAAGCTAAGCACCTCAGAATAGGCTTGGGTCGTGATCCTGACGGTAGTATTCAAGTCTACTGGTGCTGACATGTTGGAAGGAGAGATATAAGGTAAGTCCCCGAAGTCAGTTCTGTTATATGGCTCTGGAGCCAGATTTGTAAGATTTTACATCTCCCGAGTTGCCGGTGAAAGGCAAGTCCACGAAGTCAGTTCTTTTACTATACTGGAAGCGAGATCTGTAAGACTTTATAATTCCCGAGTTTTCGGTGAATGATGAAGCGCAATTACAAAAT